TTGCTCCGCATTCTCGGAAGCGTCAAGACTCAGAAGGCCGAGCGTGGTTTCGAAACTCGTCCCGCCCAGGTCGTCCTGCCTCTGTCCCCCAACCACGGTACCTTCGGTAACGATGGTCTCTACTCCGAGTCCAAGCTTGCTCTGGAGACTCTGTTCAACAGATGGCACTCTGAGGACTGGGGTCAATACCTCACCATCTGCGGTGCCGTCATTGGCTGGACCCGTGGTACTGGTCTCATGAGCGGCAACAACGTGGTCGCCGAGGGCGTCGAGGCTTTCGGTGTTCGTACCTTCTCCCAGCAAGAGATGGCCTTCAACCTTTTGGGTCTCATGTCTCCTGCTGTTGTCGACCTCTGCCAGAGCGAGCCCGTCTTCGCTGACCTGAACGGTGGTCTTCAGTTCATCCCCGACCTCAACCAGACCATGACCAAGCTCCGCAAGGACATCATGGAGACTAGCGAGGTCCGCCGCGCTGTCACCAAGGAGACTGCCATTGAGAACAAGGTTGTCAACGGCCCCAACTCTGAGGCTCTCTACAAGAAGACCCTTGTTGAGCCCCGTGCCAACCTCAAGTTCGACTTCCCCACCCTTCCCGACTGGGAGGAGGAGATTGCTCCCCTCAACGACCGCCTCAAGGGCATGGTCGACTTGGAGAAGGTTGTTGTCGTCACCGGTTTCGCTGAGGTCGGTCCTTGGGGTAACTCCCGTACCCGTTGGGAGATGGAGGCTCACGGCGAGTTCTCCCTTGAGGGTTGCGTTGAGATGGCCTGGATCATGGGTCTGATCAAGAATCACAACGGTCCCATCAAGGGCAAGCCTGCTCCCTACTCCGGCTGGGTTGACGCCAAGACTGGCGAGCCCGTCGATGACAAGGACATCAAGCAGAAGTACGAGAAGTACATCCTTGAGCACTCGGGTATCCGTCTCATCGAGCCTGAGCTCTTCGGCGGCTACGACCCCGAGCAGAAGCAGCTTCTTCACGAGGTTGTCATCGAGGAGGACCTCGAGCCCTTCGAGGCGTCCAAGGAGACTGCCGAGGAGTTCAAGCGTGAGCACGGCGACAAGGTCGAGATCTTTGAGATCCCCGAGTCTGGCGAGTACATTGTCCGCATGAAGAAGGGAGCTGCTCTCTTGATCCCCAAGGCTCTCCGCTTCGACAGACTCGTCGCTGGCCAGATTCCCACCGGCTGGGATGCCAAGAGATACGGTGTCCCCGAGGACATTGTCTCCCAGGTCGACCCCGTCACCCTCTTCGTCCTTGTCTCCGTTGCCGAGACTCTGTTGTCGGCCGGTATCACCGACCCCTACGAGTTCTACAAGTACGTCCACGTTTCCGAGGTGGGCAACTGTATCGGATCCGGTATGGGAGGTGCTGGCGCTCTCCGTGGCATGCACAGAGACCGCTACCTCGACAAGCCCGTCCAGAACGACATTCTCCAGGAGTCTTTCATCAACACCATGGCCGCCTGGGTTAACATGTTGTTGATCTCTTCCTCCGGTCCCATCAAGACCCCTGTCGGTGCTTGCGCCACCGCTGTCGAGTCCGTCGACATTGGTTACGAGACCATCATGGAGGGCAAGGCTCGCATCGTCTTCGTCGGTGGTTTCGATGACTTCGGTGAGGAGGGCTCTTACGAGTTCGCCAACATGAAGGCCACCAGCAACGCCGTCGATGAGCTTGCCCACGGCCGTACCCCCGCCGAGATGTCGCGTCCCACCACCACCACCCGTAACGGATTCATGGAGTCCCAGGGTTGCGGTGTCCAGCTTATTATGACCGCCAAGCTCGCCCTTGACATGGGCATGCCCATCCATGGTATTCTGGCCTTGACTACCACTGCTACCGACAAGATTGGCCGATCCGTCCCCGCTCCTGGCCAGGGTGTCTTGACCACTGCCCGCGAGCACGCCGGCAAATTCCCCTCGCCTCTGCTCGACATCAACTACCGTCGCCGCCAGATCGAGCTTCGCAAGAAGCAGATCAAGCAGTGGCAGGAGTCTGAGCTCGAGTACCTCTACGATGAGGTCGAGGCCATCAAGGCTCAGGGCCAGGAGGTCAACGAGAAGGAGTACGCTCACGACCGCGCTGAGCACATCAAAAGAGAGGCCGAGCGCCAGGAGAAGGATGTTCTCCGCAGCCTCGGCAACAACTTCTGGAAGAACAACCCGGAGATTGCTCCTCTCCGTGGTGCCCTCGCTACCTGGGGTCTCACCATCGACGACCTCGAGGTTGCCTCTTTCCACGGAACCTCCACCAAGGCCAACGACAAGAACGAGTCTTCTGTCATCTGCCAGCAGCTCCGCCACCTTGGCCGCAAGAAGGGTAACGCGGTCATGGGTATCTTCCAGAAGTACCTTACTGGTCACCCCAAGGGTGCCGCCGGTGCCTGGATGATGAACGGCTGCTTGCAGGTGCTCAACACCGGTTTGGTCCCGGGCAACCGCAACGCCGACAACGTCGACCCCATCATGGAGCAGTTCGACATGATTGTCTACCCCAGCCGCACCATCCAGACCGATGGTATCAAGGCCTTCTCCGTCACCTCTTTCGGTTTCGGTCAGAAGGGTGCCCAGGCCATCGGTGTCCACCCCAAGTACCTCTTCGCTACCCTTGACGAGAAGACGTACGAGGAGTACTCTGCCAAGGTCAACGCTCGCCAGAAGAAGGCTTACAGCTTCTTCCACAAGGGCCTGGTCAACAACACGCTCTTCGTGCCCAAGTCCAACGCTCCTTACACCGACGAGCAGCTCAGCAAGGTTCTTCTGAACCCCGATGCTCGCGTCACCGAGGACAAGAAGACCTCCACCATCTCTTACCCCTCCAACTTCATGAAGGCGTCTGAGAAGACTGTCACCTCCACGGCGGCCAAGGCCACCCAGGACATGATGGAGGGTCTGGCCAAGAAGGTCGCCAACAAGAACAGCAACGTCGGTGTCGACGTTGAGGACATCTCCGCCATTAACATTGAGAACGAGACGTTCATTGAGCGCAACTTCACCGCCGGTGAGATCAAGTACTGCCAGTCCGCGCCCAGCCCTCAGAGCTCGTTCGCTGGCCGGTGGAGCGCAAAGGAGGCCGTCTTCAAGTCTCTTGGCGTCTCTAGCAAGGGTGCCGGTGCGCCGCTGAAGGACATTGAGATTGCCAAGGACGAGTCTGGTGCCCCCACTGTCAAGGTAAGCTTCACTCACCACACCATAGCCTCTTGAGACTGTTTACTAATATGATGATAGCTCCACGGCGAAGCTGCTGCCGCTGCCAAGAAGGTTGGCCTCTCAGACATCAGCGTCTCCATCTCACACTCTGAGACGCAAGCGATTGCGGTGGCTGTCGCAAACTTTTAAAAAGCGGGTAGACTGTACAATGCATTTCTAGTTCATGGGATATAGGCAGGCATGGGATCTTGCTTGTTCACTTTGGTCGTTTTTGACATCATACAAGCCTGGGAGTATAGACTGCGGGTACACTTTGGGAGGAGTGTAGTCGCATGATCATCATCGTCGGATGAATTGACGAGTTAATGCACATGTTGGGAACGGCGCAACAACGGTAGAAGCTAGTTCCTCGATGCCACAATAGAATCTGTATCAACCATTTGAATCGCGTATGTGATTTGATGCCAGGTGCGATTTTTGACGTGATGTTAACCCAATCAAAATAATGGTTTTTCTAGAGTACCTTGGGTAGCAGACACAAGTTCTACCCCGCCATATACTTGCTTATCAGGATATGTGATTGTACTCCCTTTCCCACCTGTTCGGGCGAATAGCGGCGATCAAGATGCCAGGAATGCAACATCATCCTGGTCTCGTTACATGGCCAGTCTGATGAAATGGGATGAACTGGTGAGGTGGGGGTGCAGCAGTCAAATCACGAACAGCGAGCGATTGGGGCTAGCATGCACTGCACAAGGGGGTCAAAGGGAGAGACGAAATCTTGACTGTAATGGCAATATTGGTAAATGATGTTGGTAGTTGAGAATTGAGGAGATGCTATTCTGGTAAAGGGAAGGAGTTTGGGTTTTACGTGCTGTTGGTACTATGGTAGTCGCGACTGCGTTGGCGCTGGGACATTTCAGGAGGTCTTTGATCAATGGCTGAGCTGTCGCAGGTTTTCAGAGGGGTGTTGGGCGGCATGGCGGTAAGGCAGGAGGCGGGCTTAGACGTGCAGCGTCTGGTGTTTGACGCGTTGATGGGTGCCTATCTTGGATGAAAGGAATGACAGAATGCGACGAGATGCTGTTCAGTGTTCGGCAAAGGAAGTGGTGCATCTCTTCTCAGCTTGCGCGTTCTTTTTGTTTTCGCGTCCTGGTTTTCGTTTCAGCGTTTTACCTGTGCTGCTCCTGTGTTTCTTGTTCCATTTTGTCCCACCTGAGACCGTATAGTCTTTTTTGGAGATGGGGAGGTTCGTCTGATGTGAAGATGTTTTGTTTTGTGTCGCTTTCTTTTGGGATTGACAGTATGTTGACAGGAGAAACATTTCACACATGGGCCGAATAAAGACCATGTTCTCTTTTTGTTGGATGTCTTGCTAGATTATGAGGAGTTGCTCAGAATAGGGGCCAACTGGGTCTCTTTGCATTGAATCCCGCGACGAGGAACCCTGGCTGGTGAGTATTTTGAAACTCGTGTAAACCTGTTCAACTCCAATCGTTCTCGCCGCCTCCGAAGAGGTTAATACATTTAAAAGAGGAGGACAATGGGAACTCCCAACTCCCAGCTGGTTCCCCCTTCCCCACTGGATCGCTCCTGCCGGCACCCGGCTCTGATCCCGGTTCAGTGATCGACGAGCGTGTGCTTGTAAGTTGTTGGTGGTGTCTGGGCTTTTGCACTGCCGCGATGACTGGGGTGGATGAAAGGAGCATAAATCAGGAACCAGCCGTGTCGGCCAATTATATGCTGCAAAAGCGGGAGAGGCCCCTGCATGGTGGGAATGAAGGTGGTTTATGCATCGATGCATCCCTTTTTTAAGTGCGTTTTCCATCTGTCGATCATCCGTCATTCTGGTCCTCTATCCACAGGTGTGCCAGTGTGGTGGTGGTCGAGGACCGTGACCGAGCGTCGTTCAGCCGACTGTGATCAGACTTTCCCTGTCCTTAGGTTGGAGTTGTCTAGTTGTTATTGCGCTGGGTGTCTCTGCGGTCTCTTTATTTTTTTTTCGTGTGGCGCAGGCCTTGCAGGCTTGTTTGGATCTTGGATCAAATCTCATATGGTTGGGGCCGTTGTCATGCAAGACCACGGACTGGGCGTGTTTGAAGGAGGCAGTTTGAACACCTCCTTTATTACGTGGGCTTGCTGTAGAGAGGAGGTATAAGGAAACGGACGTCCCCCCATCGTGCGCGCAGGTAGTTGATCTGGCTTTTTATTGACTGTGTGGTGTATTCTGTTTACGTCCATTCACATTCGCTTGTGTCTCTTTTTGCTGGCTTGGTTTTGAGTGTTTAATACATATCTTCACCTACACCTACTAAAGCGCTGCACAAGTGAAGCCATCACGAAACGTTCGAATAATATCGCAGCCAACACACCGCGTCATTTCGCCTGTAAAGAAAGGGATTAGAAAGTTAGGAAAACGACACCGAACAATAAAACATCAACGAAAAGATGACGGGCGCAAACAACATCAGAGGCCTCATGGGCAAAGGCGCCCCGCCAACACCAGCCCTCTTTTCCATCGTCCGCGTCGCCGTCCTGGTCCTCTCGCTCGCCGTGCTCGCCGCCTGCGCGTACTGCCTGTCGCTGCTGGGCGCCTACTCGAGCAGCTATACCGGGCCGCCGGGCTTCATGCTCTTTGTGGTACGTCTTCTGCCCACCGTCTCCCCTCTTCCAACCTCTACTCTCAGCCCCAAACACCAGACATGTCACCCAAAACCAAGTTAATTTACTGACCGCACCCGCGATTAGTCCCTCTTTACCCTCCTCGTCCTAGGCGGCGCCATGATCCTCGAGCGGTTCGCGGCGCACCTCTACTTCCGCATCGCCGTCCTCATCGGCTACGGCACGAATTGCCTGTTTTGGCTGTCGGGCTGGGCGTGGTCTGCGAGCATCGCGGCGCTGTTCTTGGGAGATACGTGCGTTCAGGGGACGTGTTTTGGGCCGACTACGGAGGAGAAGCGGTATGGGGGTAGTATGGCTGGTGCTGCTGCCGTCGGTGCAGTGAACTGGTATGTCTTTTTTTCTTCTGTCCATGGCTTTACTCGACTGTGGATTATGACATGGTTGCTAACAAGATGCGTTCAGGGTCTTGATGACGATTGTGTTGTTTTATTACATCAAGGGATGTCTTTCTGACCCGGCTTGCTATGGCGTCTCGACGGGTCACGGGTCGGAGATGGGGAGCATCAAGGCGGAGAGCAAGTCGCGGTCTCAGCCTTCCGTTAACGAGCCGTGAGCTCCTCAGACTACAAGTGTCACAAGTCTGGAAGTGACAACGTTCTGTTTGAACAAATTTGAGAAGGAGAGAATTTGCGATAATATCTGGGTTGGATCTGGACTTGATAATGAATGGAGTTCTTTGGTTTAGATGGAAACAACGACGCGGCCGGGATCCTCTCGGACAGTTCTGGAGGGAGAGTCATGATCTGGGCTTTAAACGGTTTGATGAGAGATACCACTGGCTATAATTAGTAGCTAATTTTATTCTACGCGAACTCCTACAATTGCCAGTCTGAACGTGAGGTTTTCCACTTGACCTCCAGCATTCCGTCTGAGTTTTCACTTCCAGATGGGTTAACTGAAATGCCGTTCGAAGAGATGCTCCCTATAAGACACGCTTCATGCCTTGAACACTACGTAAGCCTGGCCTCCTTCCCACCTGTGGTTGATGCCCTCACGAGACCACGGCAAGGCTTCTCATATATGGTAGTCTACATTAAAAGCTGACTCTTACGCTGTTCCAGAGCCAATAGCAACATTATCCCAAGGGTCCTCGATTCCTCACATGACGGTCATTCGATACAGTCGCGTAACCGAAGACTCCTGCCCAATGAGGCTAACAGATGAGACGAGTTTGTTCAAGTCTAGCATGTCCGAGGTGTCACTAGTAGGTATCGTTGGTTCATTTGAAGTTATAGTATTGAGTGGAGAGCTAAGTAAGAAACAAACAGGTGAACGCCTAGAACTGGGTATCAAACTCCCGCGGTATCTGCAAATACAACACTCTGTCAAACAGCCCCCGAAAGGATACTCCCCCTGCCGATGCAAAACTCGCCAAGGGGGGCAAAGCAATGACAAGAAGTCCCCTCAAGAAAAGCCAAGCCACGCAACCTCGTTCCTCGTCCGTTCATAATCCAACAGCACCCACTGAAGCAACATCCCAATCCTCACTCAGAACGAAAACTCTCCTCTCGTGTTTTTATCTCCTGCTTCAACGCTTCCTCTTCGGAGCCTTCTTGGGCGTCGCAGGCGCAACCTCGCCCACATCCTGAAAGAAATCCAAGGCATCAATCCGATAATCCGCAGCGACGGCCTCCTTGGCCACACCCGGCAAATACTCCCAACCCTTCGGGTCCGCGCCAGCAGCGATAGCCTTGGCCTTCCAGTACCGACACTCCGCCTTGGCGAAGCTCGCGTCCTCGGCGCGTAGCACCGCTGCCCTGTCACGCCGGTTGCGGCTGCGCATCGCGGCGACGTTGTTGCGGTTCTTGAGGTTGCGGAGGCGCAAGGCTGCGAGGTGGTTGTTGTAATCCATTGCCTGTATGCGCCTAGGGTCGTCTCTGGGACCGAGGGAGTCGTCGATTTTGACGAATTTGCCGAGGTCGGGTTGAGGGGGGAGGGAGGTTATCTCGGGGGGGTAGGGCGCGGCGCGGATCTTGTAGATCTTGGAGGATGAGGTGTCGGTGGGGCCTGGGAGATTCTTGACGCGCGGCGAGGGAGGGGGGAGAGTTGTGTGTGTGTCGACGGAGAAGAGGTGCTTGATTTCGTTCTCGCGGCGGGTGCGCTCTTTGAGGGTCGTGTAGAGGGGGACTTGGAGGTGGGCTGTGAGGAGGGAGGAGACTGTGCCTGGGAGGTTGTGGGAGGAGAAGAGGGTTAGGTGGTAGGGGGGTTCGCCGTCGGGTGTGGTTGAGCGAGCTGGGACTTGGACGAGCTTTGAGTGGCGAGATCGGAGGCGCTTGGAGGGGGGCTCTTCGGTCGAGGTGGGTGTCTGTTGGGGAGGAGGGGGAGGCTGGATGTATGCGTTGTTGTTCATCGGTTGCTGGTAGGGGTTGTTGATGTTGTTGTATGGAGACTGGTAGTTCGACTGCTGAAAGTTGTTGGTGTATGGCGACTGATACTGCGACTGAGGGGGGTTGTATGGTTGCTGGTACTGCGACTGAGGAGGGTTGTATGGCTGTTGGAACTCGTCGGGTCCGAAGAGAGACACGTCGTTGAGGATTGGGTCCTGGAAGATATCTGGATCCTCGAAGGCGTACTGATCCCGGGTATTGTCGAGATCCAGGAACTGGCTGTAAGGGCTGGACATGATGAAGTTGGTGAGCAGTGTTCTGCGACGGATCTTGGGAGCTATGAAGGCTTTGAGTTCGGGCGAAGCTGTGAAAAAGAAGGCTGCAAGGCTGGTGACTGATCGTGATGTTTGCTCTGGACGACGAAGAGTCACGATGCTGCGGAGGAAGAAGTGGAGGGTGTTTGCTAGTCAAGGAGTATCCCAGATACTGGCTTGACTAGAATGAGTGAATGACAAGAATGAACTTGATGAAATTGGGAAGAGTGTTTCGAGTGAAGAAAATGATTGCTAAGGAAACAACAGTGAAAGTATCGTGACGGGTGGATGAATTGGGGGGGTTTTATATGGAAAAGGGGGAGAGGGCGGTTGTTCGGCCGTTCGACCGCCTATTCAGAGGCCGCCCATTAGACGCCCTTAAGCGAACAAACAATATCAGACGGACGGTCACGCAGCTATCAAATTATTCGAAAACGTGATTCTCGGCCTCGCTCGTCTAGGTCAACACGTGAGTTGAGAAGTTGAGACGACGGGGCGGATCACGGGGTCGGCACGACGATGGTGAGAGACAGTGGAGGTTTTGAGACTCATTATGGCAGTTTGGCGGCGTTGGATCACGTGTAACTTGGAAGAGCTTGTCGGAATCGACGCCTTATGTTTCGTTCTATGAGAGATAGTCTAACGATTTCGAGGATAGGGGTAGGTTGCTCGCGGAAATCGAGACTTATATCAAGTGTTAGAAGTTGTGAGCCTTGAGCATGTCAAAGACATGCTAGCATGAACATGGCCAACAATGAGATGTGGATTAGAAAGCTCGTCTGCAGCAGATATAAATGTTTCCCACGAAATGAGTATGGTCTTCCCCCTGTTCTTATTCCATGGGTAATTAAGGACTAGTTGACATCGGTCGACGTTGCGCAAATGTCCGGCCGGCCGAAGTACGTGGGGCCGGTCGAGTGCGGGAGCCGGTCCCCGTCTCTTTTTGAGATGCCTTGGGTAAAGACAAAGAGATATCGCTGATTCTGTCGTTGTGAAAGGCGTATGTGAGGCACAATGCAAGTAGAAACTGTGTTTGAATGAATTGTCATGTAATTGTATTCATCATCTAGATAAGACGGTTGAACAGACTCTATTATACCAAGCCAAACGCTCCCACTGGATATTCCCGTCGGCCGTGTTCAGGCTCGATCTGTTGTCACGCAATGCAATCCCCCGAAAAACGCCTCAAAAAACATGCTCCTCTGGCTGGCAAGGCTGTGAAGCTTGCCCCTATTTTCACCAATCACTCCACTCCCGAAATGTCCATAACCCAAATCTCTATAGCTTGCTCTTCTGGACATCTTCCATCTCTTTGAGGATGTAGTCATTAAACTCCTCGGCGTTATCGAGGTAAAGGTGGTGACCCGATTTGGAAACCTCAATAACCTTTGCCGACCCATTCTCCCTCCTCTTCTCTTCCTCGGTGCCGTTGAGCAGCGCCTGCAACCTAGCCTGCTTCAGCTTCTCGGCCGCCGCGACGCCACCCTTCTTGTCCATCCAGTCGTTCTCGCCGTACATCATGACGATGGGAATTCCCGTCTCCCTGAGCTTCTCGCCCGTGCTCTTCTCAATGACCTGGCGGCCGACGCCGTCTATCCTGTTGACCATGGGGCTGCGGGCGAAGGCGCCGGGGGCGAGAATGTACGGCAGGGCGTACTCGCCGCTGCCGCGCTGGCGGAAGATGGAGAAGGCGTAGTCGTGCAGCGCCTGGGACTCTTCTTGGGGCAGGTGGTTGAAGCGGCGGGAGGTCCAGCCGGAGACGAAGCGGGGGCCGAGCGGGCCGGTGAAGCGGACGATGCTGAAGGGGGAGACGTTTGCGTCCCAGAGCCAGACGAGCCAGCCTGGGAGGGGACGCTTGGGTGCGTTGGGCTTGGTGTTTCGTGATGCTGTTGTGTTGGAGCCGTTACTGGTGACTTCGTTTTGGTCCTGTGTGAACTCGTTTTGGAGGGTCGACTCTTCGGGTTCGGGCATGGCTGCGTTGACTGCGTATGGGTCTTCGGGGATTCCCACGGGCGAGGCGAGGATGAGCTTCTTGAGGTGGCCGGGGTACTTGAGCGCGTAGGCGATGGAGAGGTATCCGCCGAGGGAGTGACCGACGAGGGTAAACTTGTCAATATTGCGCTTCTTGCGCCACTCCTCCAGGGCATCGATGAACCAGGCCTCGGCCTCGCGGGTCTTACCCTCCTGGTCCTTAGCGGTGACCTTGAACGGCGGCCTCGTGGAGTTGCCCATGCCGAGCATGTCGAGGGCGTAGAGCTTCCATCCCTTGGGTCGGGAGAGGGGCTCAAAGTTCTTGTAGAAGAAGCCGAGGCCGGCGCCGTAGCCGTGGACGATGACGAGGTTGTTGTCGACCTCCTCGCCGACGCGCTCGATGGAGTATTCGTTGAGGGCGCGGTTCTTGCCGGAGAGCTCGACCATTTGGGACTTCCATACGCGCTGGCCGAAGGGGTCTGGCTTGGTCGAGTCGAGGGAGGCGTTTTCGCGGGCTTCTTTGAGGTAAGGGATGTGTGACAGGACGTTGCGTTCGGCCATTTGCGGAGTTACACTTGTCCACTGCGGACTTTTTGTTAGCAACGCTACCCCGCGATCTAGGGGCCTTGATTGACTTGCTTACCCATTGATATACGGCATCTTTGTATCCCAGTGGGAAGTAGGTTCCCGGGGGACGAGTTGTCGCATTGGGAGCGGAGGGGGGTGCGGCGGCGGCAGCCATAGTTTGGTGGGATCGGCGAGGGACGGAGTCTTCAGAAGAAGTCCGTTTGCTGGGTGCGGGAGATTTGACAGTTGCAGACGACGATGTTAGTAGTGAGGAAGCAAGTTTGAGTCGCGACCCGTTCACTAGAGAAGAAGCTGTTTGTTGGTGTATCATGCCGGGTGTTGCTGTGGGTGGTGGCGACGGGGGCCAACCGTCTATATACAAAAAGTCGCAAAATAAAGTACGGGTAGCGCAAGGCGTCAGTTCAGTGTGGCCGCGGGCGGCGGAGGTGTGTGTCCAGAGCGCGGATGTTCTGAAACTTGCGACGACTCATCAGTCAGCAAAGAATGCGGACCGGGGGGGCTGCAGTCTATACGGAGCGGGATAGAGAGATGCAGTTAACGCCGGGTTAGCATCCTCCCGAGTTCTAGGCAGGTGCAGTAACAAAAGAAGGACGGAGACACCGTTGTGCTGGGCAGTGGTGACGCGGAGATGTGGCAGAGGGGTGGACAAAAAGATGACGGTGGGCAAAAAGGTGGGAGGGTTCGATGAGAGACAAGCAAGCCAGGTGCCCCGGCCGGAATGTCAACGGCTCCGTAAAAAACCGACAAGCTTGTTGAGCAGTTGAGCGACAGGGGCGTAAGCAGGCAGGGGTCATTGTGTGAGGAACAGCACCAAGGGGAAAACAACGTGCCCCAGAAACGGGAATGCGGATCGGTTCATGGACTTAGCACTCGGAGTTTGGCGGGTAGAAGAGTGGGGGCAGCTGTTGCATTGAGCCGTGTCGGCGGTAAGAGACAGAACAAGCCTCCGATTTCCCGGTGGACATGTGGCTAAGCAGCTGACTACTGGCTTGTACTTCGAGAAATTCGTAGATGGCCCAGTCAGATGATGCTTCCAAGGCTGAAGCCTGAAGCTGACGGTGCAATTTCCCTCCAGCACCTTACGCAATCATAGAGACGCTTACCCGATGTAGGCAACAATCTGAATGGGGCTGTCAATTGAGACAGCATCGTGGCCGTGGAATCGTGGCCGGATTATGACCAAACAACTGTACTCCGTACTCAGCATCTGTCCGGTATTTGCTGTCAATATTTGCATGAGACCTGCATGAAGAAAGTAATTGAGTTTAGTTAAAGAAGAGACGAAACTTCCTTCTTTAGCTTGTCGAGTATGTTTCAACTCTGAGGTTCAAAAACAAAGCATGGACGAGGAAACACCTTTTCCTGTGCAGTGTCTCCCACATAATCATTATGGGGCATCAATCAAAATGCACTCAGGGTCTTTGCAAATTGTGTAGGAAAACGATGGAAATGAGTATGTTGCTGACGAGCCAGAGCCGAGCAACCTTGTACTCCGTTATCCGTACTCCGTAATATCCCTGAGCAGCTCATTAGCCTTGGCTCTTCGAGCCTCGTATTAAATCAAGCCTTGTCCATCGTCAATGGAAATCTTCAACCGATTTGCACGTGTCAAGCTCTCCCTGAGGTGTCCTGCTCTGGCAGCTCCCCAACAAGCCTTATCGCAATCGCAATCGCTTATCGTACTGGTTCAGACACCCCGCGCTCGGGCCACCCCGCCTCTTTTCCCTATGACGTCCCACTGTCCACACCTGCCGCCAGGCGGAGCGGAATTTCCACCCCCAACCCGCCAGCTGAAGCACACCCGGTCGGCCTGGATTGACATCTGACCACCGACAGATTCCAGTTCCGCCCTTGCTTCTCGAACACCAGCAGAACGCACACACGCAGAAAGCTCTCACCTCCGAAGGGCAGTGCAGCTACAGCAGCTTTATTTTGCTTGTTGCTCACCCTCTTCTGCACACCTGCGCTCCGTCCACCTGCAGCTTCGCATCATCATCCCCCGCCCCCCGACCACCGCGCATGTCTGCAGACCGCTGCTGACTGCGGCTGCCGAGGCCCCTCCAATTCTCAATTCTCCGTCCCCAAGCGACCTGACCGCCGCATCACCACCGAAAAGCTTTAACCCCCCTTCCGAGCGACGACAGGTCCTCCCTACCGAGACCATGGCCGACGAGCTTGACTCGCTGGTCAAGGGCGCCCCGCCGCCGGGCAAAGAGCCCAAGGCCGCCGTCGGCACCACCGGCGTCGTCCCCGACTCTGGCAAGCAAGGCGACCCGTTGATCCATACCCCGAGCTCTCCGTCCATGATCTACCTGAACCTCCTCATCCTCGAGGCCTCCCTCCGCGCGCAGTATCTCGAGCTTCGCGCCCGCCGCCGCCATCACACATTCTTCTTCACCTTGCTGACCGCATGGATCAGCGGTTTCGGTTACGCCCTCTTCTTCGCCCCGCGTGAGGATGGACGTGGAGTTGGTGGCTCAGTGTACTGGGGCGTCGAAACATTCGAGAAGATTTGCTTCATGGGAGGTGTCATGACCGCGATATTGGTCTGGGCTACTGGAATATGGGAGCGAGGCATCAGGTGGCCACGCCGTTGGTTCGCCATTTCCAACAGAGGCCTTCGAGGTTTCAATTCTAAGCTGGTTATTATCCGACGACCTTGGTGGGCCGAATTCCTCTCCACCATTGGCTTCTTCCTGACCTACGGACTCTTCTCCCACACCGCCAGCTCGTCTTACCGCTACGTCGAACCATCCATCCTGCGCGAAGTCGAAAAGGAGCTGAGCCTCACCGCCGACAGCCACCCAACACTACCGGTCCTGCTCGAAGACGAGGAAAAGGGAGGCCACGAGGAGGACCTCGCCCCGGGCGGAGACTACGTCAAGCTCCTCCTGCTCGCGAAGCCGTTCACGCCTACATTTAGAGAAAACTGGGAAATCTACCGCACCGAATACTGGGAAAAGGAAAACGAGCGCCGCGCCCTCATCCAGAAGAAGCTCGCAGCCCGCGACCGCCAGGTGGCCAAGCAGCGGTGGGGCGTGTTCTGGTGGCTGCCGTGGCACCGCATCGACAAGGCCGGCCCGCCGCCCGCGCGCCAGCACTCGCCCGAGAAGACGACGATGCACCCCCGCGCCGCCGCCATCGAGCGCGAGCATAGACGCCGTAGTAGCACTACCAGCGCGCACCGCCGCAGCTCGACGAGCTCGAGCCGCAGCCTTGCGCCGTCCGTGGCCGCGACGAGCGACGACGGGGATGGTTCTGTTAGTAGGAAGGCCAGCACCGGGTCCAATGCGTCGGAGAAGCGGAGGAAGAAGACGTTGACCAAGGCGAAGCGTCCTAATATTGAGTCGAGGTCTGTCACGCCTGATATCTCATCACCGTTGGCGAGGGAGGGGAGTATCAGTCGCGGGGATAGCGGTTCTGGTGCCGAGTCTGTGGCGGAGAGGTCGTTGAGGCACTCTTCGTCCAAGGCTAGTATCAGCTCGTCCATCAATTCGGTTCGGGAGAAGCAGCGGAAGGCTAGCGAGTCGTGATTGCATGGGATTATAATGTACTTTACGAAGCGAAGAAGCGAACAGATGATCAATGAACATGGTATACATGCACTACTCCAATGGGTTTCTACTCCTTTCCTTATTCCTTATTCCTTGGTGGTTGGTTGGTTGGTGGTGGTGGCAACCTCAGCCTACCTTATGAAGGCTACCTGTTTAAAGATTCTTGGATGAATATGAGGCTTGACTATCTGGTCCATCTTGTCTGACTATATCAAGAGCCATCAGTCTGAGTCTGTCGTCGAGGTCTTCCAAACACCAAGTTAGGTAATCTTTTGAGGTGGGATAATGTGAGTGAGGGCCTGCTTGAACCCGGAGACTGGCTCCTTCCTCAGTTCCTCCCTGAGCCAAAAAGATCATTGACGGTGAATTGAAAGATGCTACGCTTCTCCTCGAAGGTGTTGACGTCGTCCTCGATATCATCGAGGCTGACCGCTTCGTCCTCTAAACGGTATTGGGCCATGATGGCTTCCCTCTCTTTGAGGCGGGCCTCGAGGAGCTTAGCAGTCCGTTTAGATGCCCGCACTTGTTCTGAGCTTTTCTCCCACTCGGAGTTGATCTGGTTGCCGATATTTACGAGATTCTCTTTGGTCAGGATCTCCAGATCGCTGACCTCTTCATATGAAGATGTCAGGGGGACATCCTTCATGAAGCTCTTGACAAACATGTCAGCCACCTCGGGCGGTTTCCTCACTTCCTCGCTCCCTCTTTGGTTCCCTCCTTCCCGTAGAAACCTTACATCTTTCGGATCAATCATCAGGCAGATTGGAAGAACGCGCACTCGTACGTACTTCCAAGGTAGGAGCTCGGTCCCACTCCTTTCCAGGCCACTCCGGCTTGATTTCCTTGAGCCGACCTCTCGGTCTTTCATCCTTCCTTTTTTCCACTCACAATCTCACTTCGTCGTCGAGAAGCCTAGCCTTTCAAGGCATGAAATTACCAGAAATTCAAGCATCAATTCACGGTTAACTATGGTTTACTCCCTTTGAAAACATTAGAGTCATTGACACGTCTTCATATGTTCCTCGAAGCATCTCAACGCAGTCTATTTCCAACAGAGCAACATTGATCTTTCCACCTGTCGAGCAGTACCGTCAATCCTGGGCATCAGTCATCGAGCATATCTCGAACCTTTCTCTTTTCTACCTATCGAACGTACCAGATAGGCTCTATGCCACGCGACGCGCTCTTCCGCCGTGGACAGAGGGGCTAGGCAACCTGACACGAGTGAGATCTCTTACCTACGAAATTACCTACCTAATGTGAGTACAATTGGATCTTTCTCGTCGATGAGATACTCATCATCATCTGCCACAGTACCTACCTTCCCTAAGAATCCTTCCCATGGGAACTCAGCTGGATTCTGAGTTTCCTGCTCTTTCCCAAGTCTGCTGTCCAGATGTCTACGTACCATGGGGTCACTCAGAGTACATGAGTACGCCCCTGACAACATCATCCATTCGGTAAGAAACCAACCGCGTCAATCGCCTTCTTCTTTCCCATTCTGACTTAAAGCAGTTGCCAGAGGGCAAGCAGATGACTTTCTCCCCGCTCGCCACCTCATCCCACGTCTTGGAGTTCTCTCGCTTCTTCTCTCACATCTTCCCCCGGACGAAAATCCTCTTTCGCTTCTCTTCTCAATTCTTCTCTGGACGGAGGTCTGCTTCTCAGTCCCTAACATCTTCCCACGGATTCCCACGGGTTACCACGGTGTCTCCTGACAAAGATGGCTCCTATTCAACGCAAGTCTCTCAATTTCTGCTGCTCTGCCGTCCTTAACTGACTCCATGTCAGAGAATGTTGCTCCGAAAAGCATCAAACAAAGGATTACTGTTCGACCTGCCGAACCACCTGTCAAGTGACTTCTTCGAAAAGGACCTCTTCTCGGCTCTTGGTCTCGTTCGATCATTCTGGATGACATCTAGTGCGCCGGGTAGAGGTAGGGTCCATCTTTGGATGTTGAACACACTTCACAAGTCGGAGCATCTCCTGATCGTATTGAGACATAGCGCCTTCTTCGGTGAATCGTCGATATGATCGACAAAAAGTGATGACGCGACACAAGCGAACCGGTGTTCTCCATCGTGGGGTGATACATGGAGTCGTGATTTGCTTGGGGCTTTCGAGAGAGGAGGCAGCCCTCGGCGACCATGTCAGTTCAACACAGTCTGATAGGTCAGTATACAGCCGTGATTATGGGGTCTCCTCGGAGGGTAACGACCAGAACGGCGTTGACGTAGAGACTAGGTACCTACTCCTGCGCTTTCTCTACGCAGACTCGCCAGTGCTTGCTTCAGATGATGAAGACGAGCTCTAAAATTCAATTGAGGGTAACCGACGACAAGTATGGCTACGTAAGAGGACATGACTATTGCTCTTGCTTCGACCTGCGTGACTTCAAGTGCCTGCAGCGAGCTTAACGCAAGAGGCTCATCTTATTACCACCCAAGCTCCGCGATGCGCCGCGATTTTGAAGATGTCAAAGAAGGGGGAATTTGTTGGCGAATAGGCAATCCATCATTAAGTAGTCTGGCTAGAAGAAGAGGGGAGAGGGGCGTGGAGGAATGAGGGACAACAGCGACGTTTGCCAAGCTTGCCTTCAATAAGCGGCCGGGGGCCGAAAGCTCTCGGGCCAAGGCAATGCAGCCAGCATATCGCTTCCAAGTCTTGCGCATTTGTGCAAGAGGGTGGAGAAATGCCGAAAGAAAGCAACTTCCAGCCGACTTGCGACTGTCTTACGTCTCCGATTGGCTGCGATCTTTGAGCACAGCACCTCTGTGCTAATTTGACCAATGAAATGCCGAATCTAGAGCACAACAAGACGAGAACATGTGTAGGTATCCACGATGTGTAAGGCAGTAAAGATGCCTTCTTCTCCTTTGTCCGTCATGACGATGTGTCTTCGAACATTCAAGATTACTTATGAAGCACAATTGCCACCATGAGCTTCTCACGTACTATGCGCCCTCTAAGATCTACTCGAGTACCAAACGGCCATGAAACTCATTCATACTCAGTCCTACCAGTTGTCTGAGGTCGCGGACTTCAACATACCTCCATTTGCAGTGCTGTCTTACGCACCGGCGGCTTTGTTTCCTTGTGATAGCCAGCAAGTTCTCTCGCAGCGAACGGCTACTCATTTTAACAACACCGTCTTACAGGCTTGTCAGAAAGCAGACGCCCGGGGACTGCAATTTCTCTGGTTCGGATCTGTATGCGTTGACAAGACCTCGTCTTTGGGCCTGCAACACGCTGTAAGCTATTCCTTTCGCCTTCTGCAAGCAGCAACAGTGTGTTTTGTCTATCTCCAAGACCTCTTGCCGTCTTCTGCCTCACTAGAAGAAAGCTGGGGCGGCTGCAGATACTGGAAGCGAAGTTGGACACTCCAAGAGCTGATTGCACCTCCAAACGTTGAATTCTTCGACGCCAACTGGAACTTCCTCGGCGCTAAGTCTTCTCCGGGCCTTCTCGATCTTCTTCAGACTGTCACCCGGATCGACCAGAGCATTTTGACAGACAGCAACGCCTTCTCAAGGGTCGCGATCGGAGTGAGACTGTCGTGGGCGGCCGGAAGAGAAGCCACTCGCGCCGAGGACGCTGCGTATTCTTTGGTAGGCATTACTGGCGTAAACATGTCCGTTAGGTACGGCGAAGGCCTAGATCAGGCATTTGCTCGTCTTGTGAAGAAGATCATTGGTGCCAACATGGATGGCTCGATCTTTGCTTGGACCAGCCATGATGACCAGTTTGCCCGAGGACTTCTTCCGCAGTCCATATCCGAGTTCCGGCATCTTGCGAACACTGTCGATTTCCCGTTGTTGCAACAACCTTGGACTTTCGACGGCAATGTCATGCTCAACAGTAACGGTCTACTTCTTGACTCGCACGCATCATTGCAAGACTCCTCCCTCGTATTGGAGATCGGCCAGGCTTCCGAACATCGACTTGGTATACGCATCCAAATGTGGAAGAGAAGATTCGTTCGAGTCAACTCACGAGACTTGGTGCGGGGTTTCAGGAGTCCGAGGCCTTGCCGAATTCTTGCAGCCCGCAATATCGATGCGGATACGTCTCAGAGCATCAGCAACTCCTCCAAGAAAAGAAAGCGATCTAGTCACCTAGATACTGACACTTGCGAATACTCGGCCGCACCACTTGGTTCTTCTCCAACTGTCTCGCCTTGTATCTTGGACGACGACTCTTGGAGCTCATGTAGTTATCCCGAGGATACTTTGGACTTTGAAGTCCTCAGCGTCGATGACCAGGAGGTGGATGCTTATGAAGACGACACGGAGGAATTGGATAGCCAAGTTGACATACACGAAAGAACCTCCTTAAGTCCAGACCACCCTTATCAATACGAGCGCGATGCCCTGCTACGTCACTTTAGTCAACGAGTACGAAGTTGGGCCCGTTCAGCGACATACATTGCACCGCCTGAGAGTCAGCTATCACGGAAACGACTCAAAGCCGGAGACTCGAGTCCTTCCGTCAGCGAAGAATCAGAGTTCGAAGACATTGGCGATGTTCCGCACGGGTTCCGGATCGTATCCGACGTCGACGGCTATTTCCATTTCGCTTGTCCCTTTTACGCGACGAACCCGGCTGGACATCAGCAATGCCTGCTAGAAGATGACCTGCGATCGACGGAAGATGTTGTGCGGCATATACGGAAACGCCACTCGAAACCACCGTATTGTCCCAAATGCCAACTGATTCTCGAAACACCGACGGCGAGAGACGAACATGTTCGCATGAAGATTTGCGAGCTCCAACATCCTACCAGAATCGAAGGTATTGATGGAAACCAGCTGAGAAAGATCACGAAAGTAATGGCGAGGAGACCCAGAAGGTCGAGTGAGGCGGAGACATGGGCACGCATTTGCGCGGTGGCTTGTCCTGGTGCTCTTTCCTGCATCTCGCCCTATCTCCAAAATGGCCTTGGCCTTGAGGTATCAAAGGTTCGAGATTATTGGAACGATAAGGGTAGGCGTTGTATTGAGAAGTACATGTCTGGGAGAGGGGTTCTGTGCTCCGAAGATGATCATGAAAAGGGGGTGTTGAAAGCCTTTCATGCCCTAACAATGGCGGATCTGGTGCATGACATGGTCGCCTCCTGTGGTCATAGTTCGGAAATTCCATCGTTGCGATTCTAAATGAGACGGTCATATATAGCAGCTGTAACAAATTGCATTTACTACAACCATACTTTGTGTGGAGATACGGGCACAAGCTGACGCGCATTCTCTATCCTCCTTGCGCAGTAGTTGGTGAACCGAGCGACACTGATGATGAGTTAGCGACGCGCTCGCTTCTACTCCTGATACTTTTCCTGTCGCGATCCATCATCTAAGTCGACGAATCCATCCAGCCCCGTCAAACCGGATGTGTCAGATGGTGGAATAGCACCGGGGTCCCTGATGTCTGCGATATTGCCAATGGCCGGGTTCCAACCCATGCTTAGGCTAGCTGCACTCCCCGAACCGGAGCTTTCAGGGAGACCAGGCTCACAGAAAGCAGACGGGGGAAAGACGTTGAGCATATTCGTATTGGCATCCAATGCAATCGCGGGAAGATTTGGCCAGAGAGGGGCAACATACGTAGTCTCGTTCGGGTTTGACGGGTTGGATCGCAAAACCGTCAAGTGGGTGTCTTTCTTGACCGGAATGGATGTATCGCCCCTCGCCTGTAGCGAGACATGTCTAGAGATCCGAGTGTGCTCATGGCGTAAAGTGAGTAGCTGAAGGAGGACGTCTTCGCAGGGTGGACAAAAACTATCCATAGCCCACCTCGAAAACTCCGCGTTGGTTATGTTGCGTTTGGCGATCCCGACAAGGAGACTGAATGGTTCCCAAATACCTTCATCAACGTACAACGACTTTGGTCGTGGATGCGCCGCGAAGAATTGGTCCCACACCCGGAAATATTTTTCTTCGTCGCTTAACTTTCCAGGGATCTTCTTCTTCAGGCTACGAACTTCGTCGACCGTGAAGCTTTCTGGATAACGCCGAGATTGACAAGCGTCCCGTCGGACGTGCTGGTCACGTAGCATCGCCGTCTTGAACGTTTCCCAGCACATCGGACAATAAATATCCGTGAGGCAATGGTTTCGCAACATGTGTTGTTTGAGATAGCGGAAGGCAGTGAATCTGAACCCTGCGACACATTCGTAGTATTTTATCGGATCGAGCTTGTAAAATGGGCATGCCATCACCTGAGCGTCTATGTGTCGACATCCTTCAGTGTTCTCACCCTCATCGCTGTCATCGCTGTCTTCCCCGCCCGATTCGCTGTCTTCAGGACCATCTACGGGTGTCTTTGGGGTTTCGGTTGCTCTTCCCTTCCCCTTGTTCTTAGCTGAGCCTTTCGCTTGAGCCCTGCCTTTCGGCTGTTGCTTCTGTATCTTTGCGGAGTGCTTTGTAGGAGGCTCCTTTGCGAGTGAGGATGGAAAGCCAAAATAAGACGCCAGTGTTGTTAATATGTCGCCCGCTTGTTCACTAAGAAGCAGGGAAAGGTTCTGAAGCACTAATTCAGGTTCAGGTGTCAGTGGTAAGCTAGGGGCGTGGGGTGAAAATTGGGTAATGTAGTAAAACAGGACTAACAGGAACATCTGTACAATTCCTCAATCCACTCCGCTGTGCTTCGTGCGAAGAAGCAGATCAACTGCAAAGCTGCATCATGGTATACGGATTCGAGTAACTCATTCTGATTGATCACAGAATAAGTGCGGTTGTCATCCAATATGCTGTCGAGGGGAAAGTGAATGATAGGTGTGGTCGAGTAACGGGCGTGGCGGAACGTCCCCGCTCCAACGAGAGTCATGAAGCGAGACCCGTGGGTCATCAAGGACCTCAGAACAAGGAAGCCATAAAGATAGGTCAGAGCAGCGCAGAGGAGAAGAATGGAGGGAATAAAGAAATGCGCTAAAATGTTTTTGTACTGCATGTTTGCGGCTGGCTACTTTGACAACACCCGCAGAGTGTACCGCATTGGTTGTGCCGCCTCGAACCAGGCCCTAAAATTCAATAAGACTGTATCCGTAGGCGGTCCGCAGAAGGCTCCCCAAACGTGGTTCGTTTGGAAAACACAAAGATGCGTGTGTGCTACGATTGACTGTTTTCGTGTTGCCCTTGATTACTTTATGTTTGCTTCTGGTTCGCCTCGCCGCGTTCACTGCAGTTACCAGACGCTGCGGCTACTCAAATTGTATTTATATCACTGTTGAATGCACCCATTACAGCCCCAAGTGTAAAAAACATCGTTGCGCATTTGTGCGATACTCTTTACGCAGAGGTTCTGCGCATTTGTGAGCGCCTCCCTGTGAGATGCAGCCAATTGAAGAAGCATACGTGCAGGGGTTGCAGCAGGCTCTCCAGTCTAAGCCTCCAATTGACAACCAAGCTGAGACAGATGTGGGCAAATATGAAAAGGCGACGATGAAGCTAAGGTAATGAAATGAAGGTATGAATACCTTACCTTGTGCTTCCTGTTGACATTCTCACCAGTGCGAACATTCCAAATGTATTTGCGCTTTACATCCAATTGTTGTTCATAGAACCGGACCCATATGCGCTTAAATAGATGTCGATTCAGTACGCGGCGCGAGCGTGACGTCGGCTTTTTCAACGGAACGCTTCGTCTACTAAATCGAAATGCCACATAGATCTTTGACGATTCATGCTAGATTGACCATTTCTGCCATCTCTCTCTTGCTTTTCTACATGCTTTAAGTGATAAAAGAGGAGCTCTAAACACGTGTACTGGACAATTAAAAGCGGCGAAGATGCATGGCAGGGAAACAATGCCAAAATAGCTCGATCGATACAATGATTATTCGAGTTGTGCAATTGGAGACTACTCACTCAAGGTTGGCAGGCGTTATTCGAAGTAAGAGCTGGCCATACAGCATGCCTCAATCTGTTGCGACATCCTACTTGCTCAATCTGGACTCAATTTTTATTTGCTCAGTACACAGGCTTAAGTAAACTAGACGCCTTGCCTTGTTGCAAAGTTTGAGATTGCATCGCATTTTGTGAGTTCATATATCCATCTCGATCAGATTGACTATGAGGCGCGACTTTGAAGATGGCGAGGGCCAATTCCAATTTTATTACCTACCTTGAGCTTTTGCTGAGTACTCGGAGCGGTGGGAGGACACCTGGGAGTTCCATCGGATCCTGCACGCTGACGTATCATGTACGTACACATGTTCGTCTCACTAGGATGTATTTGACGTTCAGGTTGCGCAAATGCGCAAACGTGAAGTCAGTTGTTTTCACCGCAATTTTAGTATGCTTGCAGGCCTTGGAAACATTTGCTTACAACTACCCATAAGTTGCCATGAACATTGCTGGCAAGAGCCTCACAGCGAAGAACCTCACGTCTATGACATTGCGAGTCTTCGGGACCTATACTTTCAATAAGCCCAATGACTCGATTACAACTTAGACCAGTTCCCTCAATGTCACTATCTAGTAGTGACATAGGGGCACTCCCGAGCGTCATTTGTCCGTCAAAATCAAAGGGGAGTTCCTGGCAGAATGGTATTAGGGCGGTGGATGGTGCTTCCCGGCAGCCACCTCGGGCTATCCTCCCCAAGAATACGTTGAAATCAGAGGGAGATAGATTCTCATATCTGATAGCCGATGATACTGGATGCCCAAGACTACAGCGCCTGCCGGTCGGCGGTCATTTGGCTACCCCACAACTGCGGCAACAGCTATCACCACCGCGATCAAGATCGAAAGAGGAACTCAAACATCATTCAATAAGCAGCAACGATTCTCCAGCGCTTGTATCTGAAGATTTTCTATCTCTGACTGCCACTATGACTGGGGAAGGCCGTTCCGCCAATCTGAACGTCCCAACAATTCACCTCAACGACGAAACTCACTGGTCAATTGATTTCGTTGGAAGCCAATTCAATAATATCAATACGGATGGTAGGTCTTCACTCTAACCCGGCTTTAAGTACTTATTTACTAATCTATTCGTTTAACTAGAGCATGTATCCTTCTCTGACAAGATAATGTGTGACATGGAGACTTCATCAAGTTGGGGAAAATCTCCTTCAGAGGGCAGAGTGCCACCTACTCCTCTGTCCAATTCAACACTGGAATTGTCTCCTTTGTTGAATTGTGAGCAGGGAATTCAATCTCAATGCACCACCGGGTTTCTGTGTCTTGGGGAGCCAACGAATTCAGACGAGTTTCAATTGACGAAAGATGATGCATATGCCTTTGTCCAATCTGAAAGCCATAAGATGATAGCAGGTGGCTCTTCAACGGCGAACGTCGCAGGCCTTGGAGGCAACGGCCATGAGAATCCGAGTCTCGTGGAGTTTACTGGGAAAGAACCAGTTCCTCCGACCTTCAAACGAAGTTCAGAAAAGCTGGTGCCCATTGTTCAAGCGCCGACCAAACGGCAGCGGGTTTTACCCCCTCTTGATCATGCTATACACATGAGTGAAAGCATCGATGACGACAACGCCACTATCAAAGGCATTACTAGCTATTTTGCATGCCCGTTTTACAGAAATAATGCCGTACGTCACACGGCATGTCTGAATCTCAAAATGGTTCGGATCCGAGATGTCAAACAGCATCTCCAGAGGCGACACTCGGAGCCTCGGCACTATTGTCCAACCTGCTACAAGAGATTCAAAACACACTTGGAGCTGTCTCAACACGTGCAGGACCAGTCCATTGTAGGGTGCTCCCCGAAAGACAAAGAGTTCGACTTCGTACCACCGCATGCGAAAGACCTTCTCAAATTCAAAGTTAGCAGGAAGGATTCGGCTGAGGAACAATGGTACACAGTCTGGGACAAAATTTTCAAGCCAAAGCCAAGACCTAACCACCCGTACATGGGGACGGTCATAGAGGAAGTCACCATTATGTTGCAAGAATTCTGGCAGCGTGAAGGAGACCAGATTGTGTCAAGGTTCATGAAAACACGGCAGGTGAAGTTTCAGGATGATGTTTGTCTGAAGGAAACCCTCCATGGCTTGATGAACGCATCTTACAATACGTTTGGAAAACAATTCCGGCCATCACAGCCTATGGAGAGGTCAATTTCGTCTTCAAGCAATGAACAGCAAGGCGATCCTGAAGATCAAGAATCCGGGGCACTGTATGACGAAGATTCGGACGACTTCATTACGACGATGACCAGTCTAGACCAAAAGGGATTCGACTCTCTGTCCTATGAGCTGTCTTCAAGTCATCAAGCTCTTGACGAGATAGAAGAGACTACAATTTGGAATGATCTCTTAGCCGAAACCACACATTTAGAGTTCACATCTGCCGCGATTGATATCAAAGACGTCGGAGTTGGCAGATAGAATGTCAAAATGGGCACTAGGAGGTCGCTCTTTTGTGGGAGAGTTGGATAGATTCTCGTTCTTGTATATTTTCTCTTCGGCTTTGGAATAACCCGGGCCTCGTGCGGTAAAGCTTGATCTGGAATGCCTTGGCCGAGTAATTTAGGGTATTGCGAATGTTTTCCACAATTTTGGGAGACTCGTCTTGTATGACCCTAAAAATTTGGAAGGTCACTGACTCAGACTCAGCTCTCTTCCTTTCAAAGCTACTTATCTAGTAATACTTCAAGGTTTGAACAGATTCGATGTTCGATGGAAGTGTATGCCGCCAAGTGATTTGAAAATGTAGTCCGAAACTCCTTGTAGCATAGAGAAGGTATTGGGGTGATTCGTTTGAGATTTGATTCAATGAACATCATTCATCGATGCATCATTAAGCAAACCAACTCTCCTGAGAATGGGTGAGAGCATGTTGCGAGTGACTTTCCCACCACCGAGGATATCCCAGTTGCTTGAGAATCTCCTATAAAACTTTGGGCATCTCCAGGGTGTGGCCTGCGTTGGACCGAAAAATCGCGAGGAAGAAGGCTTTCCAGGGCAGTTTTCCCAGAGTCATTCAGAAAATGAGGTGCCATAAGGGTTCCCAGATGAGCTAATACCTACCTAGGGAGTCTTGGTCATGCCGGTCGACGCTCCAGGCATCATTTCATCATCCTCCTCCTCCTGCTTCTCCTCCTCCTCATTGTCATTGGCTCTTTTTCTGAGGTTACACATAGCCTGCAGGGCATGGTTTCCCTGCAGTTCGCCGAGGTGGCTAAATCAGGCTGCCTATCCCACTTCCCCGTTCACTCTACGTGGCTCCGTCGATTGATAAATCAGTTATCCTACTTCATCTCTTTGCAGACTGCTAGAAATCCGGAGGAAAGCATCATGGCTAGCGTCTCACTCGACGTGCTGATGCCGATAAATTTACATGAAGGCACATCCGCATGGCACAATCCAGGTACAATCGTCTTGTGATTGTTCCTCCAATATCGCAACTCACTAAAATAGTAGCAGCATTGGTGTAAGAACTACACTATATCCAAGTGAGTGCTGGATAACGTCAAACTTGTAGAAGCGTGCTGCTGGTGAGGGGAAGTACAGATCACGCATTGATTCAAGTCCTTCTGTATTGAAGCCGTACTATCTCCACGGATTGCACTCAACTCAAGGTTCCCAATACAATTAGCGGCGGAGAAGACTGGAGACGTAAATCTTGACTTTATACAACACTCGATGAGACAGGGAAGACTTGGGAACACCGAATGGGCTTCAACGCTTGAAGGTTACAACCGCCCCGTAAACGTGGTCATAGGAACAGGCGTTCTCGCCATCTTGCTTCTCACAATTAATTCCTTCACTGCTTCAGACCCTAACCTGGATCCTTTTTGCATTCCGTCTGACTTGCTTCATTGTCATGATTTTACCCTGTTAACTTTGACGTCTCCATCTCACATCTAGGTGTTGACTCATCTTAATTATCTTGACATTGCTGCCGGATTCTATCTTATTTCACTCTCCATCTTGCTACCCTTTTCTTTGGATACTGTCTATACGTTGGTTCGTAATTAGTAAATAGTTTATGCTTTTTAGCCTCTTTTCAGGAGGTCTGATTCTGGACTTCGGGCTTTCTTTGAAGTTGAGACTGAAGAGCCTCGAGCATCCTCACGTGGATGAGATTGTACCACTCTTGGGGGAGGGGGGGTCACTTTTGGCTTCATCAAGCCGCGTGCCATTCCGAAAGTTCAAACGTCCGAGATTCGTTTCGACTGGTTTTCATTGCCATGTGCGCAAAGTAAGCCTTTGGACATAAGACTATCTGCTCAAAATAGGTTAAACATGGTAACTACAAGGACGATCATTGTGGAGCCAAAGTATGGGTCTAATCTAGCGCTATATGGGACATGTTGTGTCCATCGCCACCAACCCAGCAACTGTCACTGGATGATCACATCCACCCATCCCCGATAGTCTAGTGGTGAGGATATCTGCTTGTCATTGAAAATTCAACGATTCGCAGGGGACCGGGGTTCAATTCCCCGTCGAGGAGTTCTTTTTGTTTTTTGGGCGATGTATCAACCTTCTGCAGTTATCTCGATGTGGTTCCGGGCCTTTGGCTCATGGTTTTAGACAAATGCCGCAATGAGCCTCTGGTAAGAAGACACTTAGCCATGGAACGACCACCTTACATTGGAAGGAACTAAGAACATTGAGGTACTTGGGTGATCGCGCGAGAGCTTGTCTTGAAAGTACTCTTTCTGGAATGTGACTTGAGAGTGGAGAAGATGGGCCGTGGCACATCCCCATTGCTACAGAATTCGAAGGCAAGCTAGAGACCAATCGTTGCCATGGTTAAAGAGGAAAGAGGTCGTCAGTGGATCAGGTTTCGGCTCACACCTTCATTGCGAGGCCAGTGGCCGCAACGTGTCTCTTTGACCGGGCATAGTTAGACGGCATCATTATGTTCATTCAAAGTTAAGAGATAAATAGCCCAACCGAAAACAGAGCCTTGCCCTAGAGATAGTTTACTTCCTGGACCCAAGATCATCTTCACTCTCGTGAAACATACTCCTCCTCATGGTAGCAGTCCCCGCCGGACTAACCGGCAATATCCTCGCACTGATATAATCATCCCCATCAGATGCTCCAGTCGGCGGGCTCAGAGGACTCGGGTGTCCGGGCGTCGGAGTCTCCGGCACCGTCTCCGGAATGCTACGTGGCTGCTCCCGAGCAACCGGGCCATCTTGTTCCCCGCCCGACGAGGCAGAGCTGACAGTCGCTTCGCTGATATGCCGCAGGTGCCGCGCCTCCTGGTCGCTGAGACCGGAGACATCAGAGCCGACTCGTCCGGTAGAGGTAGCGGCCGCAGCGTTGCTGATGGGCGGCGACGGCGGTCCTGGATCGGGCGATTGGGCGCGGGTCTGGCATCCGAGGACGCCAGAGGAGCGGGAGAGCGATGAGGCGTTCTCGTTAGAAGAGACGGAGGCGTAGTAAGATGATTGGTGTGTTGTCGCGGGGTTGGATGTGCCACCGGTGCCAAAGTGCGTGTGCTTGTTGATGATCTCGATGGGGGTGAGACCTGTGCCGTGGAGTTCAGGCGGCCGCGAAGTGTCTGCTTCTTTGTTAGTGCTTGGTCAGGTAGGTTCATCAATACAGTCTTACCTGGTAGCTCTGCAATCTGGTTATCGGCCATCTCGTGATGCACTTGTTGGGGTACAGGCGATGCCGCAGGGGCAGGGGGCGGCGTCCGGACCTCAGCCATATCTTGGGAAGAGGCTTCCTCGGTAGTGACGGTAGGCGCCTTGGCTGGTTCGCTGGGCTGGCCTCTGATCCAGGAGATGATTCTAGATCCGTTGTCATCGGTGTGGGTTGCTGTCCCGTTACCTCTTCTGAGTATTCTGCGACGACGCCACAGGCAGAAGCCGACGAGGATGGCAGTGATGAAGACAAGACCGAGGACGACGCCGAGGACAGGTGCAACCCATTTCGGGGTTCCTCCACCGCCGCCGCCGTTGTTATCTCCGCCGCCTGTGACAGTTGGCCGTCCGGGGTCTTTGGCTTCTGTGTACGGGTACCATGTATTAATCTTCGAGGTAACATATGGCGTCGCAAAGATGGATGCCAGTCCTTGGTCAGACCAGCCTGACGGCTCTGGAGTCGTCTTCGTTGCGGAACCCTTCTCATTGCCTCCAATCTTGCTCCGGACGGCGGTAGGGATGGTGTAGTTTGACCATTTCGTCGGGCTGTATCCATCAAGCCACTCTGCACTGGAGAGATTGAAGACCTGCATGATGCCTCCTTCAAGGCATGGTGGAGCCCCGCTTCCGGCCATCGCCGCATAGCCGCCGACGACCATCATCTGATCAGGGTAAGGCATTACGCACTGATGACCGGCACGGGCGTGCAGGGCTGTCCCCTCGTAGACCTTTGTCCACTGGAATGAAGGAATCGAGAGAACCCAGACGTCGTCGCTAAAGTCTTCTTTGGGGTGGATTCCATCGTAGCCGCCGTAGTAGTAAATGTTGAAGCTGGAGTAATCCTGAGCTGGCGCAAGCACAGCGCAGCCTCGAGTAAGGGCAGGCGGTTTTGTCCCATCGACCTTCTGTTGATACCACTTATCGCCGGCTACGTCGTAAATGTCGATGGTCTCCATGAAAGCAGGGCTTTCACTTGCCTATGGGGGATGTTAGATGGATAGAGTGCATGTAGAAACTTGAACCGCGGGACTCACGCTCTTGACAGCATCGTCGGATTTATGACTGGAATTGACGTATTCGGGATAGGTCACTCCGCCAAGGACGACGAGAATACCCTCAGCACCAACTGGAACCCAGACAACCTCAGGGTTTGCCCTGGCCTTGATACTGCTTGGCAGTAAAGTCTTGTTGGAAAATTTCTCGAACATTTGGGTGGACATGTCGAGGGTGATGAGGGTATTGGAGGCGTTAACAGCGTTCAGAGAACGGTTCGTAGTGCTCTGATACATGTCGCCCCATACAGGCGACCGCATGCCGCCAACATACCAGGCCTTATTCTCCGAGGGAGCACTGGCAGCCCCACCATGGGCAACATATCGAGTCACGCCGTCGTCCAGGGCTCTCTGATCGCTTCCGTTGTTGAAGGCGGCTTTCTCTGCGCCGTACTCGTAGAGACGCCATACTAGTGCCTTGTCGCCGGGCGGAGGGCCGTAAGCGTCCGTTGGTTTGGCAAAGACACCTCCATACAGAAAGAACTCGGCATCATTGTATAGCAGAGCACCATCGATAGTATTTGGAGCGAAGCTATTGGCGTTACCACTACCAGAAGGAGCCTTTGAATGAGTTTCGATGAGCTTAGTGATGTTTGTTGATTTGTCGAAAGGCTTGCTGAAGTTGAGTGAGTACATGAGACCCAGAGGGTTATCTGGAGATGTCAGAAATCGATTGCGAATGATGCCAAAATAGACTCACCTAGGGTCGTTGGATATCCGGTCGACCCGTCCCCATACGTTGGGGTCCAATACAGACTTCCACCATCTAGCCATAGAGTATCTCGAATGACGGCAGCTTCAGTCTTGTCAGATGCTGCTAACTCGGGACGATTCGATATTGCAAACCTCTTGGTGCGTACCAATAACACATGGACGAGCTCACTTGGCCTTTCTCAAGATCCCACCCATCATACTGGGCAGTCACGAGGCCCGCGACTGCCACCAGCAAGGCGGTATTCACACAGACCATTCTCTCGACGGCGCTGTGATTTGGCTGATTCGGAAACACGCGTTAGGAAGAAATTCAGGCCGCCCGCTGCTGTCTCAGCGCATTGCGGCTGGAGGTGGTGCTTATTTGGGGGAACCGCACTGCGTTACCAGGAGCGGTGGCAACCTTTCTCGAAAGCAGTGGAGGGAAAGTGTCAGAGTTTGGGAAACATAAGCCCGGCTGGTCTGGGCCGGGAATGACTGGCGAAGAGAAGGGCACACAATCCGGAGGGAGGGGTGCTGAGGCTGACAGTGTTGGCCTTGCCTATGGTCAAGGGAGGATACCACTGGAACAGCGATTTGAACCTCTTTGTTCGAGAAGAGTGTATCGAATGTTTGAGGCGGATGTTGAGAGAGCATACACACTTCGATCGACCCCGCAGTGTCGCTAACTCCGTGTGCTCAAAAAGACGAACCGATACGGTGGCAACGAGAACTGTACGGGACAGGGCGGACAGGACCAACAAGTCGGCAGGAAAACTGATAAGATGGTTGCCACTGGAGGATCTCGCCCAAGTGCTCACTAGAACTATGTAAGGCTGGGCTGCTGGACCACCATGGCTGGAGTAATGCCTGAGATGGAGGGTAGGAGAAGAAGAGATGGGTGTATGCAACTCATCGGACACCACTCTAGACCGGGCTCGGCGGTCGTTTGGAAGAACACTTGCACAGATGGGAAGCTCGTACCGAACCATAAGAGGATGGGAGGTATGTGGCGAAATGATTGGTGGACAGAGAGGGGCATTGGATGTCTTCGTCTACGGTACAGAGTTGTGCATCTGACAGAAGAGTGCTCAGCCTCATCGCCCACTTAGAGCGTCGTTGTGGTTTTTGGCTATATTCAGCCCAGAGTATGCGCCAACGAACCACAGGAGAAAACAAGGTCATCGGAGAAGACACTTGTCTCACCGGCGCAACCTCTGATTGTCAAAGATGCTGCTCCCGAAGTCCAAACCTCGTATCAATATTCGGGGCGAAGACAAACTGCACAATTGCAGAAAGTAAAGGTGTGTTGCAATCAGGCTACGACTTGGAACACAGCAGCAACGGGACCACCATGTAGGCAATACGGTGTTCTTGGCATACGGTGCACACACCGTCCAGCACCACAAGCCTTCCAAGACCAGACTCGGACAACAAAGACAAGCCAAACGATGTGTTTTGGGTTGGACGACACAACAAAGACACGCCGAAAGGAGAGAATTCTGGCTGCCGAACTGCCCCTGTGCTGTTTGCTCAAAGTTGTTGCAAAGCTTGCTGAACCTTATTGTCAGCAAAAGCCCGCGTCTTTACTCGTCGTGGTAAGTAAGCCGAGGCGGCAAGGTGACTCGTTGATATTCCGGATAAACTTGCGGTTCCAGCGGGACACTACATTGACGGAGGTGACATGATTCGAGAAGGTAAGCTACGACTAGGTGCGTAAGCGGGAGAAAAATTCTAAATGCATGTTGGACGCAGTAACGTGCCGTCTGTGGCTCTGATCACCACGTTGGGTACAGCGGTCCCGGCATCAGCTTGCATAGGAAATGGTGTGGTGGCAGTGGCTATTGCAGGGGTTGAGCATCTGCAAGTCAGTCAATAGACGGACTGCCAAGTTGAAGCTGCGAGGTCTGGATGGGACCAGCACAGTTGGATGCGGGAGCGGGCCAGGATCGGGGACGTGGGCGTTCGGATGAGCTGCTTCGTTCGATTCTCCAGCCTCCCAGACCAGGCACGGATGAAGGGGACGGCTCATTGAAAAGAGAGAAAAGATGACGGTGTCAGCCCTGTGGGATTGACCAAGTAAGACTGATCCTTGTAATATCGACTGTCGGTGAGAAGGATGGTATCTGAGCCTCTGAGCGCAAACAACGACCCATCATCGGACGAGTATAAATCGTGATGAGGCTCCTCATTGTAAGGTACAAGAGGGCGACGATAGAGCAAGATATCGCTCCTGACAACGTTTCCCATCAAGAGAGCTTATTAGAGATGGCAAACACATAGACGATGCCGCTTTGGCCGTTGGATGGAAACATTGTTGGTGTACGGACGGGGAGGTGAAGAAAGAAAGGTGGAAACAAAATAAAGTGCCAAACGGCGTCGAAGGAAGGTGGAGTGAAAACTAAGTCAAAATGGTTTAGCGTTGATGAGGTAATGTACAATCAGACCAATCGCAGCTTCCATTCTGAGAAGGCTGGAGGTGTGGATAAGCACAGACGGAAGCGACCCACTGTTGCCCATTTTACCCCTCTTTCCCTCTCTAGGATTAGGTCATTGGGCTATACCTTAAATGGGATGACTCCCATGAGCAGTTCCTCCCATAGGGCGGGAGCACGTTTCCCCTGTTCCTGAGCTAATCTCCTTCTGCCTTAGCTCATCTCTATTGTCACTCACTCAATCACTCATTCACTCGCTCATCCCCCTTGTTCCTGGTCATCTCATCCTTCTGTGCTGACACCTCCGGACCTCCTCTCATGCTCACTCACACTTTGTCACCAGGCTTCAGTATTTCTCGGTCTAGCCACTCAGATGACTTACAACTACACAAGGATTGCACAATGTGGGCGGTGGCGAGCAGAGACTTCTCCTCTTCAGCAGCAATCAGATGTGCCGCGATGAAAGACCGGCGAAGGCCCAGGTCCCTGCCGACCCAAGTCCCAATCCTTCAATGACACTGAGATATCTCACCACGAGAGGCTGCTCGTGCTGACTAGCTCTTAGTCGCGACATCCTGCTCGTCGGCAATACGACCGTAGAGTTGGAAAGAGTTCTACGAGGATGAGAAGTATCTGATGCTCATGACTTGTTCTTGATTCGGGCGCACCTCCAAGTTGGTACCGTGAAACCAGCCATCGAATCAATAATCAGACGGCTCATCAGACGGTTCTACTTAGACACACAAAGTCTAGACAAGATCGTCATCCATTGCATCCATTGGCACTCTTGAACCATGCTGCAAGGTTCACCAGTGGCACCTGCTGTGCTACCCGGGCTTCTCTTCGGTCTCACCCGCTGCAATCGACCGGGCAATCACTATCCCAGAAACAAAAAGGCAAGATCGTTGCTCTGTCACTGGCGACCGAGTATCCGCAAGGGGCAGGCGGAAGTTGCTTCCCAGCTTTTCATCAGTCGCACATTGATCGGGTTTCCGGTTCATGTTTATATCTTTTGCCACAAGTTGTCACTCTACCAACTGGATTTTTGTCGTACCTGACGTGCTGGTTATCCGAAAGCAATATCGTCTGCATATCTGGGTCGATGATCTTCAATCTTCTTCCCCCATGCCGGACCTCGACAGTTGCAGGCGCTTCGCATCCCGCATGTCTGCCACCCTCCCGCTTCCCGGCCATGCTTACTTAGTAGGCTGGGCTTTAAACTTACGGAAACCTGCCCGTTACGTTACCTTTCATCCACACCACTTGGTGATGCTCAAGACCTGGGCCCATCCGACGAGGCAATATTGCACACAGTTCCGAGTGTTCGACCCTGGCGTGCAGCTCGACGGTCAAATCTTGCGCAAGAGGGCCAAAGGCCAACCGCTCAGGACCTCCATCTAAGCAAAAGTCCCTTGTAGATGCATCGGTCTTGGCCCTTGCCAATGCCACCCGCCCCCCTCCCAGCCCAAGGACGATAGAAACGGCCGGCCGATGCCGCCCCACGGCCGCCCGACCTCTCCCCATGTGGCTCAGGCGCAGATGGGGACCAAGTCCGACAAAATGTGCGCAACTTACTCTGAGATCAATCTGTCTTACCCTACCTCACTCTTCGAGCCAGAGTCTCGGCATTTCTATCTTCTCTCAGGCCCTTCTCTCACCTGCAATCACGCCTGGTTTCCCCGCCACGCCACCATGAATTGAGCTTACACAGTCAGGCCATGTCTTCCGCTAGTGGCATCCAGTGATGCTTCCGCAAGATTCTCGCCATCAATTTGCATCGCGTATCTTATACTTGGCACACATACAGAGAAGTCTGTCTCTCTGTGAGCTGCATGCCCAATTCCTCCCGGGACGCGTACCCAAGCAGCCAAGTTACGAGCATCACATCTCGCTCCCGCTTGTTGCCAGTCTTCTTGGAGCCGGAACTGTTTGCCGTTGTTGTAGCGACCTCTTTGACCGTTCATATGGCCTCCGCCTGCCTTTCGAGGAAACAGCTTGCCAACCACGGCCAATATCCCTGCCGTCATCTCTGCAGGCAGGACCAGGGTCCTGGTGGGCCGTCACACCCCTCCTCAAGTGTCCACATCCATCGGCTCTCTCGCCTTTTGTGCTCCATTGCCCTCGTCCCGATCTTGCATTTGCCAATGGCCATCCAGCGAAGCCTCATGGCAGAGAATATCGTCCCCATTCACTCCGACTGCCGTCCGAGGCACGCCCCTCCAGTATGTGGCACATCGACACACGAGAGGCGACGGGGCCTAGAGCTTAGCTCCCCATGTCGCTGGGTTCCTTCGTCATCCTGTTTCCCTGCCTCTCCATTGTGCTGTTTACTTGACCAACACCCTCCCTCCTTGCCTCGAGAGTTGAGCTGGCGAGATGCCCAGCCTATAGATCTCCCACCTTTGTCAACACCATCTCGGACGGAGGTCCCGCGGAACGGACACTGCGCTACGTAGCTTACGAGGTACGGACTGCTTTCTCTGGCTAGAGCTTGCGGGGAACCTCATCCTGTTGTCGACGGGAGCCCTCCTCATCTTGATCCTGAGCTCAGGTAAGGCTGCCTTGCCAACTCAGCTCTTCAGCCTCCCGTCTTCCCATTGTACATACATATGAGCCCCCAGGTACCACATTCAGCTTCTTTGAGCCTGTTCTGCCCCCAATCTCCAACTGGCACTCGTTCATGTGTGTTCAGCTTCGACCTGCGGCTCTCCCACACTCGTTAGTCCATTGTCGCAACGCGGCCAGCTTGCATGCTGCATTGATACTGGGCACTTGGGATACCATAGTCTCTCGTTCGTCAGAAGCTCACGGCAATGCGTTGGACATCACTCCTGGCCTTGGGTGC